TCGAAAAATTGAAAACCTTCATATTTTGCCCAGAGATACCTTCTACTGAACTTAGAAACGTGGTAAGGTCTTTCTTCCCCAGACTTGCTTCTTTATCCTAGAAAACTCACGAAAACCGAAACGAGCGTCGGTTGCCGTTAAACGACGGAAATCAGTGCCCCGAGCCGGTAGAGGCAAATGAACTTTGTTCTTGAAAAGCCCAAAAGAAAGCAAGCTTGTATCAATTTAACAAGTCTGTATTGGAGGGATTGAGGTACGGCTTAAGTCTGAAACGGGACCATTTTATTACATTTTGAGTTCAGGGAACTCTTTTAAAAACCACCAATATTTCAAAATCCAAATATCGCAGTTTGTACCAAGTTTTCAATTATCATTTTCCCCATGCGGTATAACTCAGAATCAGTTCAGGTTAAGCTTATGATAAATGGAATTAGTGTAGTTTTCGAGGAGATAAAAATTATTTTGGGGCTTTTCATTTCCGCGCGGAAAAACCAGGCTGAACTTTGTAAAAATCGCAACATCTTCATTTACGTCACGAAATAATCTAATTGGGCACCCCGTGGTTAAATCCAGAATTCCAAGCACATTTTAGAATTTAGCACCGTTTTCGAACAGGAAATCAATACAGAAAGCTAGCCTTGCAAAGCTAACCAAGGCAGATTGGTTTTTATCTTTGCTCTTGTTTCCTGAAATCCTCATCCACTTCCCGAGGCGAAATTCTTTACAATTCTTCATTCTCACGTGAAGTCACACTAATTGCGCAAACCGGTATTTGAAAGTTCTGGTGGATAAACAAAGTATCTTCTGGTAGTCGAAGCAAAGCGCCGAGTCAGGGGTCTCCGATATTCTTTGTTCTTTATGGTGCTTTTTCAATGGGTTATCTTTGTGCGGTTAAGAACTGTGGTCACAATAGTATCAGGGACAAAGGAGTGAATCGACTTTTTAGATTTCCAGGGATCAAAACTTCACAAGGAAAGGCCATACGCAAACTTTGGTCAGAGTGAAGATGCTGTGGCTTGCTCGTATTTTCAGAAGTGATCTGGACGAAAAAGCCATTGAAAATACTCGCGTTTGTAGAGACTACTTTATAAAAGGTTAGTAATACAAAGGACATTAGGTTAGAATTATTTTTTTAATAACTATGATTATATTTTATTAAAAATTACGGCCGCGGAATGATCTTCGCGACGTTGATTTACCCTTTCCATTTTCTTTGTATTCCTTTCCCCACAGTGGTGCCATATCTGGCTACAATAATCAAAGTGAGGTAAAATAAATAAGAGGCAGGATATTTTTAAGCCTATTTAAAGCATTAACCTGACCCAACACCTTTCGACAGATCGATGCAACATGAGTATCAAATTTGAGCTTGTTATCCAATGTTACACCTAATAATTTTATTTCACTGGAAGTAGGTATTGGCCTCCCTGTACATTCTAGCTCGAAATCATAACCAGTGTTTCCTAAAACCAGACCCTGATATTTGTCTGGATTTGCTAACATCCCATTCTGTCGAAACCATTGTGTTGAATTGGCTAAGTCTCGGTTTATACCTTCCTCCAATGCTCGGGGATCATGGTGTGATAAATAGAGTTTAGTGTCGTCTGCATAGAAAATTTACTGTTGATTATTAAGCCCTTCAATATCAGTCGCGCGAGTGGCGAGATTAATAATTTAACACTTCAATGATTTAAAAAAAAAAAAATAGATCTCAAAAAAAATACATCTCATAAGTCACAAAGGGTATTATAGAAATCTTCTAGATCTGCTTGTGAGAATTTTTAAATATCATATGGTCAAAGCCTCCATCCTAATTTTTTCAGACTACTTATCTCACCGCGCGAGCCTTTACAAAATATAAAGCTCTGAGCAGAGTTCAGTGGACTGAATATTTTAAAGGAATCTCTTAATAATAAGTAATCAGTTTCAGTTGTCACGGTGGTACAACTCCATGGCAACAAACATTATATTTCCAAGTAGCTTTCATCTTTGATAATTTTAAGCCGAGATGAAAGAGAAAAGACAATGAGATTTTCCTTGCTCCATTCGCTTTGCAACGAATTTTCGGTGCTCATGCAGATTTGTGAATTTGCTCTAGAATGATCTTAGCACCACTGGCTTTCAAACTTGCACTGCCACCTGAGATATCTACATAATACTGCACATGACAAATGTCAGACAGGAATGGATTTCCTGAATTATTGAGAAAAATGAAGGTGATTCTCTATTTAAAATTAAAGATCCTTTCGAACCATGTTCGCAAAAAACTTCAAAATAACTGTCGGTAATTGTCTGCTTTGTCTTCATTTCGTCCATAGAACAGATGCAAGCCATAACTTCTATAAGCCCATCAAGATCTACCAAAAAATAATTTATTTATTCATGAAAAGCTTCAAAAGTTTAATTTGTAAAAAGCTGATCTACCACAAAAACGAGAGGAAAAACGCCATCGTTGGTAACTAAACAAAGATGCTTTAAAACAATAGCAACTCGATCTTAAACAGTTTAAAAGTTTATTTTTACCATATTTTTTCCGTTAATGATTTAACTAACCTTGCGTTGAAGACATCATACTGCACAATGGCAAAACAAGACAGATATATATCAAATACAAGTACATCATCGAGAAGAACTCTCGAAAGTTTTCCGAGAGAAGTGTAAATTCATGTCCAACCCTACATGCAGGTGAAGCGATCTAAAAATTATTTTTTCTTGGGCATAGCCTTCT